CCCCTGGCAGCCAGGCCCTCTTTGCACACAGCAGCTGTTTAAATAAAAATACAGAGAAGCCCAAAGGTCTGACCCTAGGTCTCACCCTTGCCAGGTGAGCATCTGCACCTCACAGAAGGTGAGGTCATCCTCATCCTCACAGAAGGAGAAGCAGCAAGTCCACCTCTCTTCTCATTTAAGAAGCAGGAAACAGCCCCCACAGCATTCCACCCCCCTGCACCCCACAGGTGCCACCTCTCCACCCTGGGGAATGATGCCCCCCGCTCACCACCCACCCTGCAGAGAGCACCGCACCCCACTCAGCCCTTACCCAGAGCCAGGTGCAGCACGGCGAGGCAGGCGAGGCTCAGCAGCAGCAGCAGCAGCAGCGGCCAGAGCAGGGGCAGGGCCAGCCCTCCTCTCTGCCCAGCCATGTCCAGGTGAGCAGGAGCTGACAAACCCCCACGGGCACTGCTCTGAGTGCTCCCCACAGCCCCAGCACTGGGCTTGCCAGGTCTCCTTCACCCGGCAGAGGAGGAGCATCCAGATGGGTCCTTTTACCCTGCAGGTGCTGGCAGCGAGGCAGTGGGTTCCACCTGACACGGACACTCCCAGGGACTGGTGTAATGCCCAGCAGACATCAACTGCACGGCTGGACCCAGAACAGCCACAAAAAGTGGGCAGGACAGGCCACCAAGGCCACCACTACCACAGACTTGGCTCCTGTGGCCGTCCTCTGCCTGCTGTGGGGAGGCTCACAAGGGAAAAAAGCCCAGGAATGCTCCAGGCTGCCCGGAACCCCGCACTTCGCCACAGGGGTGATGTTGGTGGTGGCTCCCAGCACCAACACCCTCAGGAGACAACAGCCAGCTCTGTCTGAGCGTGAGGAGCTGGCCAAGAGAACAGGCGGCGCTCAGGAAGGGCGTGCCCCAGGCTGAGGGTTTGTCCCTGGGCTGTGTGAGCAGGCATCACTTCCCCGTGTCACGGCTATCGCGGCCCAGGCCTACTGCCGACAGCTGCGGCTGCTTCCTTCTTCTCAGGGTCAGGGACAAGAGCACTCGGAGGCGCCCGCAGGCCCGGGGCCAGGTATTAGCATTCCACAGGCAGGCAGGCGTGCTGGAGGATTGTCAGGGCATAGCCACCCTGCTGCTGGACAGCTGCATGGGGGCTCTGCCAGGGCACGGGCACACAGAGGCCATCACCAGCGTGCTGGCACTCTGATGAGGTGCTCTCACACCGTAGGCAAGGCGCCAGGGTGCAGGTATTCTGTGAGGCTACAGTAGCTCTGCTGGGGCACAGGAGCATGTGCACGGCCAGGGGTATTGGGGCAGGGTACAGTGTCCCTGTCCTGGTTGAGGTGCACGGAGTGGGCTGTCACCAGGGTACATCTGCAGTCCCAGGATAAAGGCCCCTGCAACAGCCACTAGGATACAGCCACACTGACAGGATACAGGTGCTCAGTAAGCAGCACTGACAGGTGACAGCTGCCTGGGGGGACTGTTGGGGTACAGTCACATTCCTTGGGGTACAGAGATTGTCCAGGGGTGTGTACATACAGACCCAGTGCAGGGGCACAGCCACACAGCAGTGCTGTCACACCTCAGCACAGGTCCCCAGCCTGGGACCACCCACTGGTCTGCAGAGTCTGGAGACTGGGTGGCCCCTGGGGGAAGAAGCCAAGTGCTTGACTGAGTAAGATGGGAGATCTGTGAGGATTTACCACCCTGATCCTGCCCTCTGGGTGCCCTGTAGCTGCACTCACCTGCAGTGTCACTGGAGGTCTCTGGTTCTCTTGGGGT